CTACAGATAATCAAGTTTCTTGGAATTATAATAGTGATGGATCATTAGTTAATGGATCAGTATCAGGTGATGGAAGTGATTTATGGACATGGCAATTATTACGTGATGTTACAAATTTTGGTGTTTGGAAAATTTTTGGACAAGTAGATCCAATTGGTAAATATAACAAAAATTAAATGTTTAAATTATAATAGAAATTCTTTCATTTTTGTTTTTTTAGATGGTACAGATGCATATTCTGTTGTTGCTTTTATATTGACTATATTATTTGTTGCTATTTCTAATGTACTTCTTCTTAATGTACTTATTGCTTTATTTAAGTAAGAAGAAAAAAATTATTAATAAAAATTTAAATTTATTTTGTTTTTTGATTTTTTTTTCAGTGTTACAATTCAAAATGTTCAAATGCAATCTCATCGAATATGGCGTTATCAACGTTTTTTACTTGTTTATGAATATAATAATAAACCTCCATTACCACCACCATTTAATACTATTTATTATCTATATAGAATTATTCGTTATATAATTGAAAAAATTCAATATTATCGTCAAAAACATCGACATGGTATTTTATAAAACACTATTCAAAAGGAGTGTTGAAGAGTATAGGGTAGCAATTTGCATTCACTCCGACCCTCCACAGACGGTGATAGTTGGTTTCCAGGAAATATCTGAGATTACATATAACTAACATCTAATCCGAACATATATATGGTGTACTTTCTTGTCGAAGCTCTATACTATAAAATAAGCAATAATAAAGGAATATATCCCAATATACATAAAAAAAAGAGACTAGTTTTCTAGAGATTGGCAACACTGATTACATCATGTTTCCCATTTTAATCCCGCAGAGATTGTACTAGCATTTCTATTTTTATATAATTTATTCATCAATACTTTTCTTGTCTTTTCTTTTCCTAATTTTATAGTTGCCTGTGAAATTTCTATGGATTCAATTGGTTTAAGTGAACAAAAAATTCGAGAAGAATTTAAAAGTAAGAATGTTTCGTATAATTGAAATAAATAAAAAATATTTTAGTTTTTGTTTTTTGTTTTTCTGTTAATCGATAGTTAGTGATGCAATGCAACGTGAAAGTGCCATAGCTGATGATTATTGGAGTTATACATTAAAACATGGAAAGAAAGATCAAGTTGAAGTTGCAATACAAAATATTGAACGAAGGTAAGATTCATATTTTTTTTTTAGTTTATAAAAATTGAATTTTGTTTTTCAAGACTTCATGATTTACAAGAACAAATACATGATATAAATAGTCAAGGATCAGTAAGATTTGTTTTATATACATACTATTCTAGTTAGTTATTTTATTTTATAGAATTATGGTCAAGAATGGCCTGTATCGAATGTTTAATATTGAAGACAATTATTTATTTATGATTAAAAATATACAATTGATTTAATACATAATGCAAAATTTTCTATAATAATTTCTCTCTCTATTTTCAATCAACTACAACATATATCAAAGAAATTAGAAATTACTCTTTAGAAACTGCATTAAAAGAGCTTTCTATATATGTGTTCATAAAAGAAAAAATACATATATGCGTTGCTTTATCACAATAGTTCGATATCTGTTCATTTCATTGAATAGTTTTTGGATTCTATTTTCATTAGATGTTTCGTTCAGTTATGCAGAAACTTGACAGAAAATATTATGGCATTATTTAAGATAGCATCGAAAAATAATTTAGGTAAGGGTTTTAAGAGTCCATCGAGAAAAAATCGATTTTATGGTTAGAATCGACGTATACGTTTTTTCCTACATTTATTAATCCATCTCATCAAATTGACGCTTCTGTAATGTAACTTGAGGGAATTGCAAGAATTGAAACAAAAGATGGGTTACTGGAAAAGTCGAGAAAAATATCAACTCTATCACTTTGTATATATACCTTGCATTTTTTCTGTCCGCTTCATTCGAAAGAACACATAAAAACCAATAAAATTGCCTTTCTTAACTTCCTCAAAAAAAAAAAAATGAAATCTTGATGTCTAAAAAACTACTTCTTTCGAGTGTAAACTATTTGTACATATGATTTCAGTGTTCCTATTCATTGTTATGTACTCTTTCGAATGAAATGGGCCAAATGTGGCAGAGATACAAGTGAAACAATGGACCTGATTTATTTTTCACTCTTTTATATATCAATGAGTGTAATTCTGTTAAATTACATTACAGAAGCATCGGCTTGATGAGAAGAATTAATTCCTGTAGAAAAAAATTATATGGCAATAATCACCATAAAATGATTCTGTTGATGGATGCTTGATAGAATTGTGAAACCTCTTTTAAAGCTTAGCAAGGAAAGAAGGAATGTGATTGTGCATAATTCAAAATAATCTTAATCTTTTCTCCCGAAAATTTTCTCGACACTTGAATAAAATCCAAGTCAATGAAATTATTTGGTCAAGAGAATCAACAGCCAAGGATGGGTGTGGGGTGTGTGAATGTAGGTGTGGATGTTTATCTTTTTCTCCCCAACACCCACACCCTACCGAGAGGGATTCACACTTTTTGACCACTCTTTAACAATATTGTCTTCCATTACAGTCACGTTAATACAAGAGTAAATATTTATATTTGGATCATTCTTTATTTCTATTTCTCTCTTCTTCTTCTTTTTCTATTTGTCGGCAAATGATAAGACAAAATCATGATACATGTGCTATCACAAACACAAAACGAAAGAGAATGAACAAAAGAAGAGAAAGGTGTGGGTGCAGGTTTCTGTTTGTGAATGTTTTGACCTTCTCATCATCAACATATCCGACTCACACCCACATCTTTCTCTTCTTTTGTTCGTTCTCTTCCATTTTGTGTTTGTGGTAGTACATGTATCATCGCTTTGTCTTATCATTTGCCGACAAATAGAAAAGCAAGAAGACGACAGAGGTAGAAATAAAGAATAATTTAAACAAGATATTTAATCTTGTATTAACGTGGCTGTAATGGAAGAAGTCGGATGAGTCATCAATGGGAAAAAATATTCAATTTTATTTTAATAATGAAAGACAATATTGTTAAAGGGTGGTCAAAAAGTGTGAATTTTTCTCAGTAAATCGATGATATCTATCAGAAGCTTATATGAAGTTATTAATCAAATTATGTCATTTTGTAGAGGAAGATTAGAGCTATCATCCGAAAAAAAATATACTTTGAAATACATCAATCTATTACAATGTTATGATCGTTTTACTAATCTTGAGTCAAAAATTTTTACGTCCCATTTTTTGAGAATAATAAAAAGTAATCTCAATAAAGGCTCTAAATAATTTATAAGTTTGCCAGACTGGCATGTTATATAAACATTAATAATCAAATTTGATGGTGGG